CCAGGTAATATAGCTTGATGACAGTAACTGATCACATATACAGATCAAGACATGCACAGGTGCCAAAATAGACTGTATGTTCTCTTTAAGTGCTAGCACAAGCCTGTACTCTCATATGCATAATTGTATGAATAATGACTATCATCATCTTATGATCGTCACATTATTCCACACCAATTTTATCTGTTGGCACAATACAACCAGTATTGTAGGTGAGTTAGGTGTTAGGTGTCAGGTGTTATTCCATCATGTCCTAAAGATGTCCAAAGGAGGGATATATTTGGCAATCATACAAACTAAGTATGGGGAGTAACATGAGTATCATATGGGCAGATATTATCCTGCTGGAAAAGTACATTGCCTTCCTATTGTAGGAATTGATTGAACAAAGTTCTGGAGGAATATAGTGCTGTTTGATGCTACAGCCACAAATACCAAATGTGAGTTATTTTTGTACTACAGGTAATATGAAGTCATATTTTGGTTCAATTGATGAGGCTTGAAAAAACAATATTAAGTTTAAAATTCTGTTTCCATCACACATGGCCTCTTTGATAAAAGCATTGGTTGAGCAGATGTAGTTACCTAGTAAACATGAGTTCAATCCCTGGGTTAAGCAGTGTAAAAAATATATACTCTGGCTCAGTGGAAGAAACAAGACCTCACTAGGAAGAATTAACTGATATAAGATTTCTGTGTGAATTTCTAGGATAAGGAGTTATCCCATCTGAATTTCTAAGATAAGATTTCTAGAATTTCTAAGATTTCTGTCTGAATTTCTAGGATTGTTTACATTCAGACTGATGTCCTCATATTTGTTGTTAGTATCACAGAACAACATCAGCTGTGCACTCTGGCTTTCTTCAGATAATTTCAAACTGAATCCTTTATTTAATTTATGAGAATAAATTATTTTCTCATTTCATTAGGAATGTCTAGGCAGGTATATCTCATATTGTTCTTTTTTAGTAATGCTCAGTTATAGGTAGTCCTGCTTGCACAGAGTTTTAGTCAGTAGTACCTGACCCAGGAATTGAACACACTATTATGCCAGATAGTAGAGATTCAGATACAGTGGAAACACAACTAGCAAAAAATGAGTACTGAAAGAAAAAAAAAAAAAAAAAAAAAAAAAACAAGTATATACCTATACATAGACAATGGAACAAGAACACTCTACTCTCATAAATTAAATAGAGAGTGTAGTTTGAAATTCTCTGAAGCCTACCCAGACCAACAACAGAGACCAGAGGACACAACAGCTGAAACATTGTGATAATAACAAAAGCAAGGATATTAGTCTGACTGTAAATAATATAAATACTGATATGTGATATCTTCTTATTGTGAATAGAAGAATAAAAAGTATTTAGTCAAATGGATTGAATAAAGAATTAGGTTTGAAATTCTTGGAAGGCTACCAACACCAATTGAAGAAGGTTGAAGGTACAAAAGCCAAAACATTATGACTATAACAACCAAGATATGGACACTAGTCCAAGTAAATTAGCATATAAAAATCATTATCCAAATAAAAAGAGAGTAATTAAAAACCACCCATTAACTTTTAAATGGCTTTGACATTATCTAATATTTTCAAAATATATAGAAATGTATTTGTAGGGAGACACCTCTTCAGGAACGTCAATCACCACCATCTATATTCTTGAATCCCTTTCATCTTTTACCCTTTCCTCAATTCCCCCCCATACCCAGTCTTTTCTCTCACTTTCACTCTCTGCATACTAGTGGCATTCCCACCTTGCTTGGGGTGAAATGATTAAAAAAAAAATAAATAAATAAATAAAAATAAAAAAACATTAACTATTTGGGATGAGGATATTTTTTGTTTGATGTTAATACTTTTGAAATTTCTAGTCAAATTTCCAAGCAAATCAATGTTTTCACTACCTTCATCACTGTGGATTTTCTGCGTAAAGTAAAAAAACCCAAGACAAATTTCTGATTAAATACCTCAATCATCCTCAAGTGATAAATAAATAAGTTGCAAATTTAAAAAGGTACTAACCTCAAATTCTTCCCAAAATCCACTTTTGCCAGTTGTGGTACTGTTGTCTTTCTGCAGCTGTTTCACTCGACTCTCTATACCTGATGCTGTGGTTCTTGTGGCATTAAATGGCTAGAAGATAAGCAGAAATAAATTCAAAATGGAAACAAGAGTTATCAACAAACTCAAAATAAATCAAAAAATAATTTTTCAGAACAAAAAAGGCAAAAATTCTTGAACAATCTGTACTTTTCTAGTGAAACAAAAGGAAGCTTAATGTTATTTCTATATCTAAATTATTATAATATTGCCAGAAAAATCATGAAATGACTAGCATTTCAGCAAAATAGTAACATTTATGGAATATTCCTATAAACAATCTATTCTATAGTATAAAACACAATGTGGCTTTATATATTAGTTACACAACCTGATTTCTTCTTAATGAGATATCCCATTCTTATGGCAACAAGTGATATTACTTACTTGATACCAATAAATGAAAACAATACATTAGTATGTAGTGAAACCAGGTTGCTAATACATTGCTTTCTATTTTCTTTTATGTTAATTTTCTCTGAATATCATTACATTTAATGATTTAAGTAAATATTTTTTCTTATAAGTGACAATAGAACTATATAAATAAAAAAATCCTTGATTTCAAGCTGAAAAGATAACATATTTCAGTCATATTTTTTATGATAGTAAAAGTAAACTAGTTATGCAATAAAAAATGGTCAATCTTAAAATGTCAATTTAAAAAAAAATCAAGCTATATATGACACACACACAAACTTTTTGTGTGTAACACACACACACACACACACACACAACTAAGCCAAAAGATTATTACAACCTGCCTAAGGCATAGTTGATCCTCCATGTGCCCATAAAACAGCTCTTGCTTGATCAAATAGGAACTCCTCTGAGATCTGTTAAGTGCTGCAAGTTATGTGGTGGAGTTTCTGGAGAGCAAACTTGTTGGTTAAGCACATCCCATAAGGGCTCAATGAGATTTAGATCTGGCAGGTGTCAGAGCAATACTGTAAGATGTTCATATTCCTGAAAATTTCTACACAACTCATGCATTGTAGGATACATTAAATTATCTAGCTGAAAGATGTCACTGCTATCATAGAAGAATTGCTATAGAGGGGGGTACCTGGTCTTTAAATGAGTAGATGACAAAGTACCATCCACATGAATAAGACCAAAGTTTACCCCCAGAGAACATTACTGGAACTACCACAATGCATCTATTAGCTTGTTTTCCGCAGCGTATGGTGGTGACATCGCTTCTTCAGAATAACAATGCACACATATCCTACTGTCTACTTTATTCAAGAGAAAGTAAAACTTGTCCAATCAGGTGAACTATTTCTATTGATACAATTAGAAATTTTGGCAATTAGTTAACATGGGTACTCACTGATAAGCCTGCAGCTATGCAGCCTCATATGCAGCAATAACTTATATACTGACATTCCCTTCTTTATCTTGATTAAAGATATCGGCAATCCATATCATAGCAGCCCTTCTAATGGCTCATACTTGATAAAATAAAAAAAAAAAAATGTTCATTCACCTTTTTGCATCAATAGGTTTTAGGAACCTAATACCTTGTTGGTGATCTGTGTCCCCCCCCACAGTCCCAATTGTACAAGTTAAATAATGAGTACCCACCCACAAGCCATCTTGATTCAGAAATGCTGTGATTTAATTTTCTAGCCATAACAATTTGCTTTTATCAAAATCACTCAGATATTTCTTCTTGCCCATAACTTTATTATTCAACACATCAAAATGAACTACTCAAGGCTGGCTTATATACCTTGGATCCTAATGTGCAACCGTTATGAAATAGGATATATTATTCTTGCTATATGTCACTGACTGAACATGTCTTTGATCATTAAAGTGTGCATGCATATGAGAGAGAGAGAAAGAGAGAGTTAAAAAAGAAATAAAGAGAGAACAACAGTCTAGAGCAGTGGTTCCCAAACATTTTTTCCATGGATCACTTTTACTCTTAATTTTTTTGGTGGACCCCCATAACCATTTGATGAAAAAAAAAAAAAAAAAAAAGCTTATTTTATTTTTTACTCATAGATAAGTTTAGGAATTGTATTATAGAAATAGAAAATGTATTTGCTTTATTTTGAAGTAAAAGTAATTTAACAAAAATAAACTAAACAACTAAATTCTATGGAACATTTATGTACACTAGTAAAATAACTCATAATAAACTATTTTAAAATATGTGAGTAATTAATAATTAAAAAGATGCAGATTTATTCAATGAGATCCCTGGAGTTGATGCCTCTCTGAGTCTTAGTCTTATATATATATATATATATATATATATATATATATATATATATATATATATTTGGTGTCATCAATGTCAATGAAAGTCGAAGATCGCCTTTTCACAATGTTGAGTATTACTATAATATTATTTATTATTAATATATAATATAATAAATTATAATCTTTATAAAATCTTTCATTTATCATCCTCAGTTTTTATTTAACTCTTACAATCAAAACATCTGGTAGAGTAAAAGGGAATACTAACTTACATCCCTTGATCTTGTTTTCTGATAGTTTTAGAGTTGTTTTTGTCTGCAATATTTTAATATGGCGTAGATTACTGTAGAAATTTCAATTCTCAGTTGTAACAACTGTTCTGAAGTGAAATTGCTCTATGGACTACTAAAATAGTATGATAGTGCTGATATGAAAATGAATAAATAGAAAAAATAAATTTAAAAAATAGGTACAAATGAATACAAACAATTGGATAACCAGCATAATGAAACACATAAAAAAAAAACAAAAAACTAACAATTAGTATTCTAATAAATAGTGCTTGCAGAAGAATTAGATCAATATTAAGGTAAGGAGAATGTGTCACTGCTCAGCCACTGGAACAAGAAATGCAATTTTCATGATTAGAATGCTATCAGTAGAAGAAGTGCAGCAAGATTTATAAAAATGTTTCATAAATTAGACAAAAGTATTCAACTAAGTAAAATATGAAGAATTCCTTAAACCATAAAAAATGCCTGATCTAAATGTGGGGGTAGAGGAGTATCCATATAATCCATAACTTGTATTGCAAACAAGCAGCATGCATGTGAATAAAAAAAATGAGTTAAGTGAATACACAAAACTAGAAAGAGGGGCACAACAAAGATATATTTTATCCATCAGATCCATTTAACCTGCCAGACAAAATGATTATAATAAAGCTAGAAGACCAATTGTAGTTATTAGCAGATATAACTTTAACAAAGTACAACATATACATATATGCAGATGACACTGTGTTGATGGCAAATTTAGAAGAAAAACTGAAAGCAAGAAAAATAGATTAAGCATAACTGTAAGATGATAGAATGCATTGTTGTAAACAAAAGGGGCACCCAAAGGTGTGAATTACATGTCAAAGACATCAAAATCAAGTTGATGTTGAAATTTAACTATTTTGATAGTATAATAACAGATAATGGAAAATGTGATGCAGAAATCTAAAGACACATCGGTATAGCAAATGATGCCTTTCAAAAACTGACCACAGTAAGGAATCAGACAATTTTGTCACAGATGAAAAAAAATACTTCAAGAAAGAGAAATGTGGTTCCACTACTAAATTTTGAGAATATCATGGACAGTGCATGTGAAAAACAGACATATTAAGAGTATAGATTTGAAAGAGCTGAAATTTTGGCAACATATGAAAAAAGGCAGCTTGGAGTATTTAACATTCACAGAGTATTTTGAATGCAAGAGAAGCAGGAAAAAATAGTGAGAAACTTATTTGACAAGTTTGACTAAATGGCCGACAGAAGAAGTATAGCAAAGAGGAATTATAAAGGAGCAAGAATTAGAGCAACAAAAGAGTGGAAAATGTGGAGAGTCATGATCACCCATTCCTTGAAGAGACATGTCACATAAAAAGAGATAATAGAAACTATTTAGCTTGATTATTAATCACACAAATATTGGTTATTAATAACCTAGTGAAATAAATATATTCAGAAACTCGAGTTAAAATTATTTGTTCATACAAATAATACTAGTCTTACTTTGAAATAGTTTACTGTATATATTCGTGTATAAGCTGACTTCATGTATAGTATGACACCCAATTTTTTTTCCATTAATCTTAAACCCTCCAGAAAAAAAATTACCTGTGTATAGTGCAACCAGTTACTGAAAATGCATGATTTTTAACAGTATACAGCATGAGCCCCACCCCTATTTTTTACAATAAAAACTTGCACTATACTAGAGTATATACCGTATCCATCTTATACCAATTTTGGATTCATCTCTTAAAACTGACAATGAAACCAATCTACCATTGTACACTCCAACCTTCTTCAGGTAATATACATTGGAATTTCAAACTGAACCCTTTATTTAGTCCATGAGGGTAGATTGTTCTAGTTCCACTTGCCATGCCTTTTCTGGATAGTTTCAGTTAATTCCCTTTAGTAACTCAACTCTCCAAGTTTTTTTTTTTCATCTCTGCTATGGTCTATTGAACTCAAAGCTCTTTGGATTATTTCAACCAATGCTTGGGCCATGTGTCCTTGGTTTGGTTCAAAATTCCAACATATATCACCTGATGAAGGCCGGAGTGTACAATGGCCGAAACATCGTCAATATAACAACAGTCCAAACAATTAAATACTGTAAATAGTTACAATACCTCATCTCAGAAATATAGACAGACCTTCAAAATGAATATAACACAAATGTTATGCTACTCAGACACTTTTTAGCTGATTATTTTTCTTGATAGTGAAAAGATCATACTGAGCATTTGATATGTACCTTGTGGGTGATGAATTATTTTTCACCCTACAACCCTTTTCACACGGGGGAAAACATTGCAAGCCTCTTGCTACTCTATCACTATTTCCATGAAAAGTGTTCAGACGAACTACATTCCTTAGTTCCACCAGTTCTAATCTTCATGGGTAAGACCCAACATGCCGGGCATATTGTAGAAAAGCATCCTTTTTATTCCATTGTTGAGATGCAAATTCCACTTGAGACAATATTTTTCCAGCTTCTTTTCATTAAAGGAAAAAAAAAAAAAGTGAACTTACTTGCTTTAAATGTAAAACTGTACCGGTTTTTTCTACCATTGGGTTCTTTTTATAGTGTTCCACTAAATCAGACAGACTATCAAATTGATTTCCTCCACCAACATCATATTTCCCATCCTGAATTATATAAAAAAAAAAAAATTAAATAATAAATAAAAATTTAAAAAACAAATTAAAAAATTCAACTATAGATGAAATGAAATATTGACATTATAAAAACCATCACACTCCATTGGCTTCATTATATTAACATACAGTAGTTACCAACTTATGCACAGAAGATACATTCCAACACTCAACCAGTTGATGCCCGAGTATATGAAGAGTACAAAACCCTATATATACTATGCTTTTTTCCCTATACATACATACATACATATGATAATACTTAATTTATAAATTAAGTCAAATAGAAGATTTCAATAACAATAACTAATAATAAAATAAAACAGGTATAAAAAAAAAAAAAAAATATACACAAGTTATATGATGGATAAATTTGTTCATCCTCAAATCCTAGTAAACTCAGCTGTTTTTTTCTTTAAGTCATGAATTTTCACTTTTTCCCCTTGAACACAAAGTACTTTATAGTTTTTCAGTTTCTTTTTGGTATATGTGAAATACTATCATCACTACTCTTGCTCTTTAGGATCATTATTAAGTGAAACTTACAAATTGTTTATATTTGAGATTAACATCAAATAACAGAAAATGAAACTCTGGACAAGGGGGAGCCCCTGTATATATATTCAAGAAATTGTAATAATGCTCATGGTAATTATATTGTTCATACAGTGTGACCCACCCTCCCACACGCAAAGTTTGGATTAGTTTAATTAATTATTTTCAGACTGATGGACCAGCTTAATTGCCTTAGTCAATAATTGGTGGTAGTTTTTTCTAGGCTAAGCAGTATCAACATTTTAAAGAAAAAAAATGTTTAGCCAAATTTATCAAAGAGGAGCCAAAAGAGAATTGAAAACAATTGAAAAAACAATAAAATGAGTTTAGTAAAAATTGTAATTTCATGTGTAAAAAATTGAAATAGTAAGTTTTTGAAAGTTGGTGCTGAGTAACATTATTTTTTTTGTTTTTTGTCAAAGTGTAGACAGGAAATTTTAGTTATCTCTTTGCTTTCAGATCTTGTCTACTACCAGTTGGGATTTAAAAAAAAAAAAATGTCATTTTTGTTTTTGTATTTTTAAATTTAATGTTTGTTGTCATGTCTTGTCTCTTGTGATTGGTTGTGACCTCCACAGGTTCTTCGAAAAGCAGAAAAAGAATGGTTGCACTTTAGTGTATGTAAATTAATTTCACTTTCCTTAAATTTTTGTCAAAACGCAGTATTATCTAAGCTTTTACTGCAGATACATTTGATATTTTAATATTTATGAATCAGTAAACACATGTTCTTATAACCACACAAGAATATCTAAAACATAGGAAGTCTTTCTTGGTGAAATGAAAAACTTATTTCTGAAACAGGACACTGGGCGATTCCTTGCAAAACCTCCAAAATAACAGGCTAACAAATAAGATTACAAAGTAAAAATAAATAAGCAAAATTCACCAGGAATCTGATCATAACATGGGTGACACGATCATCACAGCGGACTGACAGGACATAATCTCCTGGCTTGCTCTGGCTCTCTCGCACCAGATAGCTACCATTTTTTCCTTTATCCAATAAATATTTTTCTGCTTCTTTCCCAGTAATATGTCCATGAAACCATCTGCAAACAGTAAATATGGAAAAGAATTTATTTAAATAGTAAAAAAGTTAAAGTTGGGGAAAAAACAAAATACACACAATCAAAGACTGTATTATAATTAATTCTGTGTATATTTTACAGAAGACATGTTCAAAGTGATTTATTAAATACAATGGAGTGCCAAAAAGTTCTTGGCCTAAATCACTTTTCAAAATCTAAAGAATTACCAAACTTCTATTTTTTTTTTTATTTTTTAAAGGATTTCTTGGTTGGGCTAGTAACTTTGCATATTACATTTTTTAGTTACTAAAGTATATAGCTTGGTAAAAATAAGACTACTGAAGAAGAACAAGACAAAAATAAAACAAAATTCTTAATCAGGCAGATATTTATTAGATGTTTTTTTTAAAGATTAAAATAAATCACTAAAAAAATAAACTGGCCACCTTATTTGTCATTTTCTCAGCTGTTCCCAAATATATATCAAGTTGGAACAAAAATTTGTAGCACTTTTCAATAGTGGATTAAAATAGCACATACGTGCATGGTTATATCTATGTACAAATATCTAAATATTGTCTTTAACATTCACATACAAAAACATGATGAACTTTTGTTCTGCCCCACTGTAGAACTCCCTTCTGTTTACTTCCTTCCCTGATAACTACAATCTTCAAAAATTTCAATCCAACGTCAATTGCCAAAACTGTCTTTTTTCTTGAATCCTCTTCGTCTTTTGTCCTTTACTCAATCCTAGCTATTCTCAGTCTTCTCTTTCACTCCCAGTAATCCCCTGCGCACTAGTGGCATTCTCACCTATCTTGGGGTGAAATGATTAAAAAAATAAATAAAATACATTATTGATCCTGTTTGTAGTTTCAAGTATAATTCTCTTATACTTTATATTGCTTCAATGACTTTAGGTAACTCTTTAATATGTTAGGTGGATTATTTACACTATTTATATTTGGACTATTCTCCTCTTCTTTGTTGTTTTTATAAAGTTTTGGCTGTTGTGCCCTCTGGCCTTCATCAGGTGTATATTAAGTGGATGTTTTCAAATCTCAATTTTCAATTAGTAATATGTTGAGTGAAAGTCAAATATTTCTGTATCTTCTCTTTGTCAACTCACACACTGAATCCAGTTGACTTTGTAACAAATTTCTTGATTATGCAACGGGCTCTTGCAAGGAATTTATCAATTTCTACTGTTGTTTAATGATTCTGAAGCATTTGAACAAATTTTTACCTTATCACCATCATTGTTCAAATACTTTACAGTCTGCGCTGCATAAAAATCAAAACCATGGCAATTTTGTGCAGAACCATGTGCTATTGGATACAATTGCGCATGTCAGTGTTGCCAAATTTGGTCAAATAAATTCAGATACATGCAACCAATAAGATATTTGGAAACAAATTAACTTGTATAAAATGTTAGAACACACTAAATATGTGAAGTTTTATAAATATTAACATTTGACTTTTTACAAAGTATGAGAAAAAAAATAGGCCTTTTCAGGTTTTAAATGTTCTTAATGAACAGAAAAAAAATAATGTCAGAGACCTCCCTCCCAAAATATAAAAGATAATTATTATTAAGTGTATACAGAAGTTTTCAGTGAAAAATCTCATTTTCAACTGTTTTCAGTCTAGCTTAAAAAAAAAAAAGAAAAAAAGAGTTTATTTGCATAAACCTAGACTTAATTTGAAAAAAAATGTTTCCTTATTTAATATACTGCTAGTTAATGAATAAATATCTGTTTTAAAATCAGTGTTCAAAACTATTACCATGAAAGTACTATATTTTTGCTATTCTCTTCAAATGATTGATTTGTTTTATATTAAAGATTTAAATAATTTAAAAAATTTTTAATTTTCTATTTTAGCACCTAAGTTTAATTTGAATCGAGTATGATTTTTTCTAAAATTTATCCAATTTTTTAATAATTTTAAAAATTTGGAATCTTATGTATGATTGACTCAAAGTTTGACATAGGTTCAAAGATTTAGGACAGAATTTATAAAAATGAATCCATTTAACAAACCGTTCAGTAGTTGGATCAGCAGAATTCAGAGGGTACTTGAGTTCAATAATTTCTCCATTTTTCTCTTTCAGTTGTCCTTGGTTCTCCATATAATGCTGGACCAGTTCTGCCAGGGTTGCAAATTTTTCCCCTCCATATAAATCATAATAATCACCAGTACTTTGAATCTTGATATGAGTTACTTCCCCATTACGCCTACAGACAAAAAATGAAGATAGCATTAAATAACATAAAAAGAATACATAATAAACAAGGATGAATGAAAGTTGGGCAGAGTTATTAACTGAAATTAGATCCAATATTTTCACAGTATAATATTCAATAGATGTAATTAATATTTACCACTGAATAAAATTCATTGACAAAAGGGGTTATACAGTGTGAATCAAAAAAAAAAAATTGTTCTTATGACTCAGTTGATTGCTTGCTATTTGTATTACAGTGTACAACAAAGTAGGAATCAATGAAAGACAGATTCAGGGAAAACTTATTAAAGAAGCTGATTTACTTGCAATAACCTAGAATACCTGAGAAAATGGAGATGACATTAAAATATAATAACGAACAGCTAAAAAAAAACTCCTGTTAAAATCTTGAGGAATTTCTGCCTTGGTCATTTTTTCTAAGATTCAATCAGAGAGAGCACACGAGAGAGTGCACAGCAGAGAGAATGTGAGAGAGAGAGAGAGTGCACAGCAGAGAGAATGTGAGAGAGAGATAGAGTGCACAGCAGAGAGAATGTGAGAGAGAGATAGACAGTGCACAGCAGAGAGAATGTGAGAGAGAGCGCACAGCAGAGAGAATGTGAGAGAGAGAGAGACAGTGCACAGCAGAGAGAATGTGAGAGACAGCGCACAGCAGAGAGAATGTGAGAGACAGCGCACAGCAGAGAGAATGTGAGAGAGAGCGCACAGCAGAGAGAATGTGAGAGAGAGCGCACAGCAGAGAGAATGTGAGAGAGAGCGCACAGCAGAGAGAATGTGAGAGAGAGAGCACAGCAGAGAAATGTGAGAGAGAGAGCGACAGCAGAGAGAATGTGAGAGAGAGCACAGCAGAGAGAATGATAGAGAGGAGCGCACAGCAGAGAGAATGTGAGAGAGAGAGAGAGCGACAGCAGAGAGAATGTGAGAGAGAGAGCGACAGCAGAGAGAATGAGAGAGAGAGAGAGCAGAGAGAAATGTGAGAGAGAGAGAGAGCACAGCAGAGAGAATGTGAGAGAGAGAGAGAGAGAGAGCAGAGAGAATGTGAGAGAGAGAGAGCGCACAGCAGAGAGAATGTGAGAGAGAGAGAGAGAGCGCACAGCAGAGAGAATGTGAGAGAGAGAGCGCACAGCAGAGAGAATGTGAGAGAGAGAGAGCGCACAACAGAGAGAATGTGAGAGAGAGAGAGCGCACAACAGAGAGAATGTGAGAGAGAGAGAGCGCACAACAGAGAGCATGTGAGAGAGAGACAGCGCACAACAGAGAGAATGTGAGAGAGAGACAGCGCACAACAGAGAGAATGTGAGAGAGAGACAGCGCACAACAGAGAGAATGTGAGAGAGAGACAGTGCACAACAGAGAGAATGTGAGAGAGAGACAGCGCACAACAGAGAGAGCATGAGAAAAAGTGATAGTCAGTGATGAGTCACGGCCTCAGATTTTGTCATGAGGTTCCTAAATTGTCACAGTTGAGTGCCATCACAATTTAAACACCTTGGCAATTTTAGTGAATAATATCAGGTCATCCCATAAGTTATGTCTGAATTTTGAATAAAGAAAACAAGTGACCAAATGTTACATTTAATTACAGATTCAATCAACAATGTATTTTCCCTGACTATCTATGACTTCCTTCCATCTATTAACAAGCTTGCTAATTCCATTACTGTAAAATTCTTTTTGCTTTGATTTGAAGAACTCACAAATGTCTGTTTTAACCTCTTCCTGAGTTACAAAAGCTGTTTCTTCCAAATGATTCTGTAAGCTACAAAACAAATGGTAGTCTGAAGGAGCAAGATTGGGAGAATAAGGTGGATGAGGAATTTTCTCCCAACCAAGTTCTTCGATCTTTTGTCATGTGATTCTTGCTGTGTGGGGTCGCACATTGTCCTGATGAAACATCACCCCTTTTCGATTCACTGGAGCAGGTCTTTTTTTCCTCAAAGCTTGGTTCAAACACTCTAATTGCTGACAGTATATTTGAGCATTAATTGTTGCATTAGGTGGTAAGAATTCAAAGTGGATTATTCCTTGGCAATCCCACCAGATTGAAAGAAGAACCTTTTGCCCATGAAGTTCCCTTCTCGGCTGTGGCTGGGGTCCTTCCCCTTTACCAAGCCACTCTCTACGACGCTTAAAATTTCGATAAAAGATCCATTTTTCATCACCAGTCTATCCAAAATAGGTGTAACAAGTTGGCGAGAATGGAGAGAAGAGCAGATGTCAACTCGGGATTTGAGGTTGTTTTCAGACAATTCATGAGGCACCCATTTTCCAAGTTTAGAAACTTTTCCAAGTTGTTGAAGATGACGATGAACAGTTGTATGGTTTGAACTGAGAACCACTGCCAATTCCTCAACTGATAAAGCAGGATTTTCTTCAAGGGATGCTTCAAGAAGCTTTTCATCAAACTCAACTGGACATCCGGTTTGACCTTCATCTTCAAAGGTGAAATCTCCACCTCTGAATTTTGCAAACCATCTTCTGCAAGTTCTTTCATTCACACATTCCTCTCCATAAACTGAGTGAATGTTTCTAGCTGCTTCGGTTGCAGAGTTTCCTTTCTTGAACTCATAAAGCATTATGTGCCTCAAATGATTCTTGGCTACTTCCATGTTAGCGGGGTTTTAATGAAACAAAATTTAATTTTATTGTTCTCTGAAATAAAATTTGATCAGTTTAAATGCATCTAAACATAAAAATAATGTTCAGCTCCATTAGACATTATAAAATACTCTTTAAATTTCGTTCATTTTAAAAAAAGGTAAAATTCAAACAGAACTTATGGGATGACCTGATATAATTGAAATTCAAATGATAAAGTTTAACAAATTTATAAAATATCATTTTCTTGTGAAATAATACCAATCTATATGTAATGCATTTAATTACATTCTCTCCCCCAATAAAAAAAAAAAAAGCTCAAAGTCTCACAAGTCTTATCTGCAATGTTTTTTGGTATACTAATGTTTGCTCAAATGCTGTAGACTATCAATAGTTGTACTTGCCCAAACCCTACAATACTATAATATTAAATGCATGAATATTCATCATTATCAGTTTCATGACTGGATGTGGTCATAGGATAACTGAACACCCTCCATATATCTCTGTGACAGGATCAGACCATTTTTTCCTCTTCTTTTACCTAAAATTCAACAATCTTTCTCCTGCCATCCTCCAAGGATGACAGCAGAAACACTGTTGGCACTTAATGACGTGTCCATACCATTTCAACTTTCTCTTCTTGATAGTGATTATGAAGTCTTCCAATGGGCCGCTTTCTTGTTTGATGGTACCTCACACTGCATCATTTGTGATGCAGTCTAAATAGGAGGTGGTGGTTCTGTAGCATTTCATACTGAATGTTTGCATTCTTCACTGTATTTTTTTTATTTCTGTTCTTGAGAAAAAAAAAAGATTTGGGATCTTGTATTGTTTTTCTCTTAAGAGTGTTATAGTTGGTTAAAATGTTGATTTCAGATTATAATTTAATATTTAAAATTGTAGAATTTTCTTATCTTGCCATCTAAGAAAAACAGTGATGGGTTGACTGACTGAAATGATCAAAGTTAGGGAGTTAATTTTTTTTTTTTTTTTGAATGTGAATATTATAGATCAGCAAATATAGTAACTAGTTAAAAAGATACTATTTTCATTTGACAATAAAATAACTAGTAAAATGAAATGTGCTTTAGAGAATATTTGCTTACCAAATAAGAACACCAAGTGTGTTTGGGGTGAAATGTTGAATTGTAGAAAAGAATTGTGCTTAGAACTTACCTCACTGATAATGTGAAATCTCCCTGGTTGCTCATACTGGGTCTTGCAAGGAAGCTGCCATCAAAGCCTCTCTCCATTAAGAGAGACTCTGCATCTGCCCCCCAAACATTTGGATGGAACCATCTAAAAAAAATAAACAATTTTTTTAAGTTTAAACAACAAATAAATATGATAAATGTATATAATTGTGTAAGTAAAGAGGCTAAATGAATTCAAATGATTTGTAGACATCAGTTATTTTTCTAAATAATAAGCACTCTTTTTAACCTCCTTACTAAAGTTGTTCTCTCACAAGAAGTGAATGACCAAAGATTACACATGCATAAAAGAATATAACAAAGAAACCAGAAATGACAAGTTAAACTTAGAATAGAAAACCATATTTAAAAAGTTTTTAATCTGAAATGGCAGAACTGGAGAGAGAAGTGACTATACTGTAACTTCCAAGTTTTACTAAATGAATCCAAAAGATTTACAAACATTACAAGATAGTTTTTCAATAGTATAACCACTCTTTGTTTGCTCACACGACAAATGGATGATCAAAGTTTATGCATAATATCCTATACAAATGTAGAAAAGAATACAAGAAAGCAAGTAACTGCTGCCTGAGAGTCAGATAAAAGAAACATAAAACCACATCCAAATATGAAACAATCTTCTGTACTAGATTTTTCTATTTCTGGAGAGAAAAAGGATCACATTGACTCCAGGGATAATGTTCAAGTAATATATAGAGAGTACTACTGGAGAGAAATGAAATTGAAAAAGATAAATATTATATTGAGTTACAAGTAATTTCCATTTTGGAGAAGCAAATGATGAATATATCATCCTAACTATTGTCATATGTGACAGTTGAGAAAAAAAAAATAGGAGCATCTTACACACCTTATATTTAACATGATATTGGCAGCATGCACATTAAAGGAAAAAGATTCTCCTCCATGACAAATCATGGCCACTTACAGCACAAATAACACAAAAAACATTTTGGAAATTGGTTGCTCTGTTTCACCTCACCTACCATATTCACCTGATTTTGTTTGTTTGTTTTGTTTTACAACATATCAACCTCAATGGGTTATTTATGTCAACAAGATTTTTATTGCTGGTAATTTTTTTCCAAAAACGTATTGCTGGCATTAAAACCTATTTTTACAATTTCATAGTGTTTTGACCCCAGTTTTTCAACTATTTGCCCATATCTGGAACCCAAACAGGTGCTACCACTCTGAGTCAGTGTGAACCTGGGAACACCAGCAATTAAAAGGTGGTTCCATGCTCCTCAAAGCCTCCTGATCAGAGGCCTTGCTGTTGGATGCAGTTTATCATCTTACCCAGGACACCATATTCACCTGACTTTGCACCAACCAATTATTATCTTTTCTATACACCTACCACACCAATTGCAGCAAAACACTTATGGAGAAAACTCTCTAATAAAAACTAGATTCAAGTGTTCATGTAAAATTTTCACCCCCATCAAAAACTGCAGAATTTTGGCTCAAAAGGTATTAAAGAGCTACTTGAGAAGTGGCAACAAGTCATTACAAATAATAGTGAATATATAATTGAATAAAACATAATTGTACTTTAGCTTTTGAAGAATAAAGTTAATGAACAAAATTGGGAAATATTTTATTACTCAACATTAGACTTGATAAGAATATAGGGATCAGACTAGTGCAGATTTCTTTGCTTAGAAAAAAAAAATCTAGAGTGCAACTCTGTAGACAAAATTAAAAAAAAATGTCTGAGGTTTGGTAAATTGATCAGATCTGTGTATTTGCCACCATTTTCAATGTTACAATATTGGCAAACACTAGAGATACAGACTGTACACCTGAAGAAGGCCAAAAAATAATTTGACTGAAACACAGTGGTAAGAACAAAGACAACAGAAATAACAAGCAATAAAAAAAAAAAAACACTTGAAACATTACATAAACTATAAAATTATTGTTATAAAAACTTAGGTAATTGGAAATATATTAGAGATAATTTGTTAAGCTTAGAAGATGATAAAAGATAATTATGAACATCAATTGTGAAAAGTTATTGCACAAAAATGTTGGAAAAAGAAAAAAATCAAATAAAAAAAATAAAACCAAGTTGAAAATTTACAAACTGTTTTTGTTAATGAATTGATAATTAAGTTGTTGATTTTCTTTAAACACTTTAAATATTAATGAGATTAAGCTAAATTAAAAATAAAATACAAAAACAAATAATCTTTTAAGAAGTATTTTTGAATTGTTGGAACTGCTGACCAGATGAGTATTGTTTATAATAAAATAACAATCTGAAGGTGTCAGACTTGAAGAATACACTGCAAGGGAAAGAATTTTACATCCCAGCACTGTGTTATGGAGAGCAAAATATAAATTAATCAGTTGATTTCTTTGTCCCCAAAAATTTCTAATGCATCATTCAAACAAGCCAATTTCTGCAATATTACACAGTGACTGATGAGAATGCTTGAATATTTCCTAAAGCTTGTGAAATCAGTTGAAGTAAGCACCTGAGTAAGAAATAACTGAATGAACTTAAAAGATACTTGCACACTTTCTCTCATTATATATATATGTATATATATATAATTCTGTAACTTCTGTTCATCCATCCGTCACAATTTCAATTTTCATTAATTTTTTGGAGAAAAATTAAAAGTTTTATTATTTAACATACAAAATACTCCCACTATTTTAAAACAATTTAATGATTAAAATAACAAATACTTATTTAATAAAAATGCAATATTGTTTTTTTTATTTTTCTTTAAGTTTTTATATATACAAGAATCCAGTTCCCAGTTCACCCTGTGTGTGTGAGAACTATAAAAAAATCACAAGGTCAAACGCTTCAAAAACTTGGAATTTGGCTCCAGAAATAAATATTTACACATGGCCAGTTGTATGTTGGATGCTCAAGAGTAAGAAATCCTAAGAATTTATTCACTGTTAAAAAGAGGAAAAATCAATTTTCTTAAAAAATATGGTTTATCATGAAGTCCAAGAAAATTAAAGAAATTGTTAAAGAGAAATAGAGTTTTTGTCAAAGTATTTTTCAAAACAAATAAGCTTATTCAAATTTCATCAATTGGTTTGCGAAATTGAATGAAACGTAAAGCTTGTAAAACTTGACTAGAAATGTTAGTGATAACTTCAACAATGCTAAATACTGTGAGGATTTCAACACACATCAGCATGTTGCAAAAAAAAAAAAAAAAAAAAAATTCTAGTTTCTAAAATTTCTCTAAAATGGTTTAAAACATAGTGATGCAAACTTTTCAATCAACCTTTTTGTTTCTCTCTCTCCTTTTCACTAGGACTCAAGTACTTTTTCAAAAAATGTGAATTTGAGGATGAAAATAGAAACATCCCTTATGTACACAGTGATTCTGGTTAAATGTTGGTTACAAGGAAGAGCCACTTAACAGCACCAAAATTCATGGCTTCCAGTGTGTTACACCTTAAATGGAATCCACTATATAACACACATATTTACAAACAAGAATGGTTTCACAAATTTTCCATGAGTCAGTATTCTCAACAAGAGAAATTTTAAATAGAAAATTTCATGGGAGTGACACTTAAAATTAGTGTCATTTAACATTCTTCAAAGTTTATCATTTTTTTGCTTAACCAAAGTGAATAACTTAAAAATAATAAGATAATCTTTTATTCTATCCTATTTTTTAAAATTCAGATAATTTTGCTGAAAGGCAATCTTTTATTTTGGATGACATTGTAAAATCTTAATTTTTCTGTATCAGCTTTGATAGTTCAAAATAAATTGAATTAGCTATATTAAATATAATTGCTTAACTCTGCTGGCTTTACTTATTCATTTTTAGATTACAATATAAAAGCTTTTGTCTTCTTCAAAAAAATTATTTTAACTTCAAGATTTTCATATCACTGAAAATTGATGACCAAAATTAAAAAAGCATCACATAAGAAATATCAAATAAATTCTGATCTTCAAAATGACAGAAAAATTTACAGACATACGATTGACAACTATATTTTTTTTTTTTTTTTTTTTTTTTGTATTATGTGCACATATATAGGTCAAATGTTGTAGAGTAGGTCAAGCTTAGAATTATTCAGTCATCCTGAATGTGTGTGTGTGTGTGTGTGTGTGTGTGGGATTAATGAAAAATTCTCGGTCTTTATTTTTCTAATTTTTATGCTAATAACACTTAACACTGCTTCAGACATCTTTATGAAAAATGTACAGTAAGAAAAAAAATATATACATGCAATGAATCATGAACTCAAACTTCAATGTAAGATTCCTAAATTACAAAAAAAAAAAAACACCTTGGTAGTTTCAGTGACAAATACAAGTGAAATGAAAATAAAAAATACAGTTTAACATGAATTTTTTTAAAAATCATTTTTCTTGTGAATAATACTGATATATATGTAATGTATTTGAGGTACCTCCCCTAAAAAAATCTCTCATATTTTATATGCAAAGTTGAGGTTTTTGGGAATATAAGGTTTGCCTTAATGCTGTAGACTATCAATAGTTGTACCTGTCCTAACTCTATAATACTAAATGTGTTAATCTCCAGTTCCATGACCAGCTGAGCACCTGACCAGCCCCACTCCATATGCCTCAGTTGCATACCAATATCTGAGTCTCTGTGAATTTTCTTCCCATCCATTCAGTGACATTGTCAAATCATTCTTTCCTCTGTTATGTGTGCATATATAGGTCAGATGTTGGAGTGTAGATCAAGCTAAGAGTTTTTCAGTTGTCCCAAATGTGTGTGTGTGATTAATGAAAAAATTCTCAGCCTGACCCACTCTGTAAAACCTGACCAATCTTCAGAATGGGGGGGGTTGAAATCCTCTTGGTCAAGCCAGAAGATTTCAGAACTTTCCCCACTGTAAGTGAATTTACGCAAGCACAACACAAAATTATAGGTAATGAAAACTGCTTTTAATGGTAAAGGATAAATTTTAATAATATATATATATATATATATATATATATATATATATATATATATATATATATATATATATATATATATATACTCCATAATTGGTTACTGTGAAATATAATCAAAATGTTTACATAGACTTGAATGTTGCCTAATATTTGCT